CAGAAACAGAACCCCTACCTTAGAGCTGCTCATGCCGTGTGCGTTGTGCAGAACAGTAACCCCTACCACATAGGACTATTTGATTGCTTTTCATTCACTCATTCTTTGACAAAGTCAATCAGTCACAGACCCACTTAACCAAGTATGAGCTGAATTCCACACTTTGCCAGGTTTGCAAATACAGAAATGAATTAAGAGGCAGCGCCTGACTTCCAGGCGCTCCTAGTCAAGTAAACAAAGAATGTGATCCAGACTATACCCAGGATGCCCAGACACGTCCCTCTGTGACTACTGTTTTCAAAGATGAGGGACAATTTAAATTATCAAAGCTACAAAAGATTATAAATTTAGCTCCTCACTTGCACTGGCCACATTTGAGCTGTTTCGTGGCCGCAGGTGGCTGGCAGCCACCACGATGGACAGTGCACATCTAGAACATTCCCATCATGGCAGAGGGTTCTATCGGACGTTGGTGCTGCCCTGACCATTGACACCTGCCCCTTCTCTTTTCTTCCCCTCACACCCAACATTCCGATCCACAAGCGAGCCCCACTGCTCCACCTTTAGGCCAGATGGAGAACGACTGCTCTCACCGTCACCACTTTGTCCCTGACGCCGGATCTCTTTCCTGGATTAAAGCTGTCCAGGTTATCACAGCACCAAACAGTGGTTTCTGCTTCTACCCTTCCCGCTACGGTGTAGTATCGACACAGTAGCCACGCAAATCAAATCAAATCATGACCTTCCTTGCCTCAAAAACTGCCCATAACGTTCATCTCAGAGGAAAACGCAGACCTTCCAGTGGCCAAGGTCCTGCATGACCTGGTCCCCTCACATCCTCTCTGACCTCACTGCGTGGCCATTTCCTAAAGTCCTGCTCCAGACGCCCTGCCATCTGGCCAGGTCCCCGATGCTGGGCACACTCAGGTTGTTTCTGACTTGATCCATGCCTCATTTTTGCTTCATTTTGTTTATCGTCTGACCATACGTGAGGACATAAACTCCATGAGGGTGCAGACTTTTGTCTGTCCTGATTTCTTCATTGCTGTCTTGACAGTCTCTTAAAAATGCCCGGCACATAGGAAGTACTCAGTAAGTATTCTCTAAACGAATGAGTAAAGGGGAATATATCAGTGAATAAGAACGAGCAGATGCCTAAAAGGAGCTTATCTTTCACATGCGAGGACACAAACCCAAATAAAAAACACAAGCTGACATTAAGTCCCAATGAGTGCTTATGCACAAGCTAAAACAGGGGGATGTCCATGCAGGGGGAGCGTAGTCAGAGAAGATGGCATTTGGGCTGGGACGTGTGCACTGAGAGAGAGGTAGCTTCGTGCGGTTCACAGTAAAGTCATTTCAAGTATGAAAAACAGCACGTGCAAAGGCCTGAACATGGGACCGAGCTTTGTATGTTCAAGGACCAAAAAATGGCCAATGGGGATAGAGAGTAAAGAGGGGGGACAAGAAAAGAGAGTCAGGCAAATACAGTGCCAGGCACACAGAGCTGTCGTGGGGATTAAATAGGTTAATACATGTAAAGGCTTTTCAGAGGAAACCCTAAATGGGTTAACTAGCCATGTAACAAGGTCCTGGAGAGAGTGACAAGAATCATGACAAACGCAAGGAAGAAGCAAAGGCCAAACGAACTGCGGGGTAGAAAGATCAAGGGGAAGAGTGGGACAAGGCTTGCCCGATCATCAAGGGCCAGAACCTGGGGGATCTTGGAGGCCTTGACAAGGAACTGGATTCTGTCCCAATGGCAATAGGGAGCCACTGAAGGCTTTTGAGCCGGAGTAACCTGATCTGACACACTTATTTTTTTAACTTTATTTATTTTGAGAGAGAGCATGAACAGGGGAAAGGAGCAGAGAGGGAGAGAGAATCCCAAGCAGGCTCCATGCTGTCAGCACAGGGCCTGATGTAGGGCTCGATCCCATGAACTGTGAGATCATGACCCGAGCCAAAATCCAGCGCTGGACCCTTAACGGACTGAGCCACCCAGGCGCCCCTGATCTGACATACATTAAAATATTACTCTGGCTGCTATGTGGAAGACGGACTGCAGCGGGGCAAGGCCGAGTCGAGGCAGGGGGGCGAGTGGGGATGCTGCTGCAGTGATCCAGGGAAGAGATGATGGTGACTGGGACCACAGAGAGAGGGCAGCTGCACAAGATGTTTAGGAGTTAAAAAGGCTCAGGCATGAAAACGGGAGAGGAGGAGGAATTAAACTTAGGTTTCTGGGGGAGCAGCTGGGTGGACGGGGGCGTCTTTAGCAGGAAAGCCTCAGGGAGGCACGGGCTTTCAAGGAGACATCAAGGACTCTATTTGAGGGTGTCTTCTGCAGGCTGCAATGTCAGAGAGACTGCCAGAAATCCCGGGAAGGGTCTGGGCTTGCACCTAAAGCCCTCAGCACAGGCCCTTGCACTGTGACAACTCTACATACTCCTGTCATTAGGAGCCAATCCGCCTGAACGTATCTGGGGTACGCTGCCTCTCCTGCTACCTGCGACGGTACTGACCACCTTCAAAGATGGAAAGAATCTAGAGAGCGGAAAGACATTCTTTATTTTAGGGATGAAAACAGGACAAGGAAGTAAGAAAAAGATACCTTTGTTAGTTGCCCTTGAAGTACCATCGAAAAAATACCCTGGGGAAACAAGGAGGCATTTTGTGTTGGGGGGCAGGGTTGGGGATGAGATACTGGGGTCCTGGAAGCCTGAGTCCCTAAGGTGGATAAGGCCTGAACTCTTGGATCTGAGGGAGGAGGGGGCCGTGGACCTGGACTTATGGGTCTGAGGGAGGAGGGGCTGGAAGCCTAGATTCCTGGGTCTGAGGGAGAAGGGGCTGGAGGTCTGGACTCCCGGGTCTGAGGGAGGAGGTGGATGGTGGCCTGGACTCCTGGGTACGAGGGTGCCGGACACTCAGGTCTGAGGAAGGAGAGCGGATGCTGGCACTCCAGGGTCCCGGGGACTCACCACACCATAAGGGTCGCACTGGCTGATGCTACGGCTGCGAGGGTCGCGAGCAGGCACTGGTTGCCCGGCGTCAGAGCCTCGGGCCTGGCCAGCAGCTCGCCCAGGCTTGGCCTCCATGGTTCCAACGTCTCCGTCTCCTTCGGCGCCCAGCGCAGCACTTTCCGAAAGGAGACCTGGAGCTCGATCTCCCCACGCGGGGGCGCACTGGTCACTGCGGGGGCGAGCACGTCAGCCGGGCGTGCTCCCGACGCCCCGCGCAGCCCCGCCCCCTCGCGCAGCCCCGCGCGCACCGTTAAGAAAAAAGTAGAGCCGCGCCACTGGGCGCTGGTCGTGCAGGATGGAGCAAGAGAAGGTCCCGTTGTGCGTGGGCTGCACCGGCCGGATCCGCGCCAGGTATCCTTGGGCCCGCGGGATGTCTCGGAAGTAGGACTGGTCCTGCGTCCGGAGCTAAGGGACGCTCGGGCTGAAGCGGTGGGAGGAGCGGAGCCCTGCCCTAACTTGGGTCAGGTTCCCCCTGCAAGCGTCTCGCCAAACCAGAACGTTCGAGTCCCGACC